CGTACCTCGTCATAGTCAGGCGGTGGGACAGCTACTCCATCATCATCGACTGGGGACTCGGGTTCGTCTTCCTCACTACTTTCAGCGCTGCTACCATTCAGTAGGTTATAAAAGTGTTCCCTCCACAATTTAAGTATATTCTGGACATCGGTCACTAGGTCGCCATTGTTGTTCTTACAGGAGTTCGCCTCAATTATCTCACCGAAATGATATATACAACCCTAGCTTGTGCAGGCGACCTCTTAGTCCACAGTGACCTATCAGAAAACTTGTAATTATCCTTAGCCTCTTTTTGGAGATCTTTATGATTGCTCTATTCCTTGTGGGGTTGGAAATTCCTAGTAAAAAATCTAGCCTGGCGTATACCTACGGTGTTACGCCAGTACTGTTCTCTGAGTGAGTTCCTCTCCTTCCTGATCTCTTCCTTGATATGTAAGTCTTTTTGTCTTAAAAATTTGTGATGTATTTTTTGTTTTGTTTTAGTAGAGGGGAATGAGACATGGCATTTAGAGCATCAGTGGACGCAGGGCACTTACATACAACTGTATAGAGTATAATTGGACATATCCAGTGGACTATCTACGAAGAGAGTCCCCGAGAGTTAGGTACTCCGAAGTAGTTGCTAAGTTCACCTCCAGACCGCAGCTTTTTGACCAGCATGTACCCTAGTAGTAAAGAGTTCTCACTCAGTTTGCGGACCAGCTAACTGTGAAGCCAATATTTCACTTCAACCTACTTCACTATTTTTTATTTTTAATTCTTTTATTCTTCATATAACTTGCTGACCATGCGCGCTGCGCTTAAAAGTATTCACTGAAATTTTCGGTATTAAAAAAATATTCTGAGCAAAAATCATTCAACTTAGTGTCAGAAAAGGCAAACTACAAGTAACTACGTATGTATGTATGGGCATTTTGTTGTTACTATTTAACCTTTTTCGCTTATCTACAAAAATGTGATCGCTACCTTTTGAAGTTCTAAACGATCAAAGCTGAAATTCTTAAGTCAATTTTGCTTGCCTTTTTTCTCTCAACTTTATCAGCAATCATTGAGCATTTAATCACGTTATCTTTGCGCTTTTAAAAAAGTTTTATTTACTTATGCATGAGAAAACTGCTCGCTGCTGTACTACGCGCTCATTTTGAGGAACTTTAAAATACCGTATTTTGTATTTATCGCTAGAGAAAATGCAACCAAACAAAATCGCGCAAAATACAAAAAAAAAATCCAAAAACCCACAAAGCCCGCGCAGCCGGTGTTAGTTTTT